TATGACCTGGTGCCCTCTGACCCATCCATAGAGGAGATGAGGAAAGTGGTGTGTGATCAGAGGTTACGACCCAACATCCCTATCAAATAAAGAAATTTATTGCTGCTTTGTCATTTAACAGTAATTTTATTTTGTTTGTGCAATTAAAGGACTGTGACACCCTATTTGTCAGAAGTGCAACATTATTACATTAAAACAAAAAGCCTGTTGGCTAAGATATGACTGCACGTGGTAAATTGGCTCTTGTTCCCGCAGGCGTTGCTAACTGGTGGCAGAGCTATGAGGTGAGAGAGAGAGATCCTCTGCAGCTACTATACTGGACTTCTCTTCATTTTCATTTTTATCTGAAGTCCACTTAAAATAGCCTGGTATATCTTTGCAAATATGGCGATTTCTGAACTGCCTGCTTTTGCTCTTTTATTTATATGTTCTTTTCAGATTAGGAAGGGAGTGTTGAGTTCTGAAAGATTAGATTTCTACAGTTTTTTTTTTTTTTCTAAATTTTGGTGTTCAGTAAAAGACTTCAGTAAAACTTCAGTAAAAGAAGTGCTTAAAACTTCAGAAAGTGTTGTTTGTCCACTTCATGAATAATTAATATTATTAATTAAAATATTAAATGAGCAATTTTATTTTTGCATTTTCTATTTTTACTAGCAATAAACAATACAAATAAGTATATAGATTTTAAAATATATATAAATATAATTGGGACGGGGCCTACCTCACCCCACCACCAAAACTACTGAACCTACGGTACCCAACAGCCCTCTGCGCTCTCCTCCTCCTCTCTACATCTACTACCGCCCAGCTCGCCAATCAAAATGTACATGTGACTTTATTGATTCTGTTCAAATCAGTTTCGCCCCAAAGATCATTTTTCCAACCGGGGCCGCTCATATGTAACCAGTTTTGACTGGCTTGTTGCATTCATTTAGATCAGTCTAGCAGACTACCTCGGTTAACTAAGTAGGTGGAATACACAAACTCCAGTTCAGAGGCGATAACGGGCGGGTTAAGCGGGAAAACTCACGAAGTGATTTGGTGCAAGATGGCACTGCTAGCGACCGACACGATCAGCTGATTCCTTTCATTACCACGTCAAAGCTGTTAGCAAAACAACCTTATTTGCACTTTATCCCGGAGGTTTTGTGAGTGTGAAGTGGATTATAGCCATCTTGGTTTTGGAATCACTCACTGGCACACGCGTCTATTCTTACTACTGAACGGTACGGAGATATCTATTTATTTTAGCTTGTAGATCCTTCATATTGTCCTTATTTTTTTATCGCCGTTAGATTTCCTCCTCTCCTCCATGGGCAAACAAAGCTACTGTACATAGTATATTTTTTAAAAGTATGGAAATGTAAATAGCTTACCCTCTTTTTTTATTTCCAAGCCCTTCAACTAAGCTAAAGGTTTAATCGTGTTTTGACATCCAGGAACATCAGAGATGTGAAGCTGTACGGGTTAGCGGTCCGTAAAATAGCGGTGGCGAAATTACAGGCTTTTGTTAAAGTTTGTTTTTATAGCTAAACCTGTTTGTTGCTTTTGACTGGAGCATTAAATGACACTAAAAGGATGCACATTTTATTAGCTGAGGAGTGTTTTATATGGACTTTAAGCTCTTGTTTTTAAGGAATAGATCATGCAAACATAAGAATGCTCATCATTTATCGCCATCAAGTTGCTCCAAAACTTTTTTTAATGTAAAACACAAAAGGAGATATTGAGAAGAATGTGCAAGCTGCACTCAAAAAATGTTGAAAATTCACCATAAAGGATCAGTATGACTTTATGCTATGTTCAGAGTCATCTGAATTCATATGAACTACATCTATGATACTTTTTAGTCTTTTTTTTTTTTTTTGATGCACAGAATTCATGCAATTTAATTGTAAATCAAAAGGTTGCATGAACTTGTCCAATGCTAGAAAGAAAGTAATGCAGGTTTGAAGCAGCTTGAGGGTGAATAATGACAGGATTTTAGGATTTTTGCATGTGAAGTGAAGTTGCGACGTGATTCTAGGAAATCGATCCGATTCTTCTTCATGCACTGGGTCTGTAATGAGAAGAACGACTTGAAAATATAACTTGACTTGAAAAGTTTGGCATCGAAGCGCACCGCTTTACTCCTATTACACTGTATTTATGACTCCTGACAGACATTACGTCTCTCTCATACTCCATGGATAAATACTACTGCCCTTCTGTCCCTCTCCGCTTAATATGCAAATGTAAATATAGTTTCTATAATGTATGACCTTTTTTATTAATCCGATTTAATTCAGTAGACAGTTGTGTGGTTGTGTTTTGTTTTTTAATGTTTTCAGGTTTATTTGTATAGCGCTTTTAACAGTAGGTTTTGAAGCAGCTGTACAGGGGTTTTAGTCTGTGGTCTTTTATTTTATCTCCCAGTTTCACTGGATTGATGTCTAGAGTCTGTGTTTTGACAATCTGAATAAGTACTGTTATTCTCCTTCGTCCATTTGCAACAATTCAGTCACCTTACACTATTAAAATGTCCAGAAAAAGCCAAAAGTGATTGCATATTAGTTGGAAGAACATGTTAATGCTTTCATCTATTTTCATGTTATTTAGATCCAGAATGACAAGCTATCATGTGAAATGTGTTTGTAACACTGGATTGACACTACTGAGAAATATAAGACGACACTGGCACGTCAGCTGCTGATTGAGAAATCTGTCCGTATCTTATGGGAAATCTTCTTGAATTGGGAATAAGAGGTCTGGTTTGATCTGTATTTGTTTCTACTGTCGAGTTCAGTTTGTACACGTTTCTAGTTTCCAGAAAGCGTGTTGTTGCTGGCAGGATTTGGGCTTCATGACCATCTGCTCCCTTTCATCCACTTGCTGAAGTGAGACGTCAGTCGCCTGGCTGATTATAACAGCTAAACGATGGCGACAGTGTGATTTACAGCTGCGCAAACAGTCTTAGTCCCGGTTTAGCATAAGGAAGTTTCCTCGAGCCACTGACCTCACAGCAGACCTGCGTAATCTGAGTGTGTTTCCCAAATCTACATGGAGAGACTTTTCAGGAATTTCAGTTTCCAATCATGTACATGGGTAATTATTAAATGGTAATAAATACAGGTTTTCCTACATTTGTCATGTTCTTTTTTTCTTCAGAACTTTGTGATGTAAATACGGCAAGTGTTCAAACAATAGTAAACAAGCAGTATGTTGTCATACATGACTTTTACACAAGACGTTTGCTTAGCTGTTTATTAAAAACTGGTTGAAAAGTTTATCAGATAGCTGATAATGCAAAACTAGTTCACTGGGAAATTAGAAATATAAATGTGATTTTGTTTTTAAGTTTGAAACATTTTAGAGCCAAAGAACTTAATACAGCCAAATCACAGACTTCAAATAATAGAACCTGATGTTAAAATAAACGTGAAAATGTTCTCCAATTCAAGTTTCAAAATTTAAAAATCCCATTTATTTTTGCCTTTTAAAGACAATTGTTTAAAATATTAGAGATTTCAGAAGCTCTACAGATGGAAAATAATTAGCACAATTATTATTGTTAGTAAAGACAGGGACTGTTCATTTATGACACATTCTGGATGTATGATTCTAAAAAAAAAAAAAATTTTTAGATGCCACAAAATATTAGATGAGTGTAATTTTAACAGTCACACATTTAATTGTGATCTTGACAATGTTCTCCAAAGGGTTTTTTAAAAAAACGAGTCAATAAAGCAAAAGTAAATTCATTGTTTTTCAGCGAGGGCACATTAAACTGATTGAAAGTGGTAGTAAAACATTTATATTTCAACTAAATGCTGTTATTTTCAACTCTATTCATCAAAGAATCTGAAAAAAATGTATCACGGTTTCCACAAAAGTTCTGTTTACCTCCAACATAAGAACTGCAACACAACTGATAAACTTTAAAAAAATTAAAAAAAAGTACATTTTATTTTGCTTGTGCCTTGAATAAAACATCTTTGACATGAGAGAAATAGAAAACGGTTCAGGTGTATTTACATACGCATAATGTCTGGCATAAAAATGAATACAGAGAGAAAAATACCAGCAAAATATACTACAATAAAATGATGGAATGTTCTTTTCTCCAAGCAAAACAAGCTACAACAAAAACAAGAAGAGTGCGAGTCATCCAGAGCCAATCTCCTGTTTCTCATGTTGGGTTACAAAAGTTTAATCCTACGGTACATTTTTGTCAAATTACATAGCTAATTGTGGAAGCACATTTAACTTAAATGATATGACAATTTACCCATAATGCAAGCTGACAGGAGAACGATGGATGTCTGATGTTACATCTAGAAAAACACACTCTGCTTCCTCGTCACACGTCAAAACACTGATAAAAGCCATCGAGATCATGGGGCTAAAAACAACTGAAGCAGAATAAAATCAGTAGCAACATGTTAAGAGCAAGTGGAAGTAAAACACCCGTCTGCATCAGACATAAACATTGTCTGTCCAGTCCAAAACAACCAGGGAAAATCAAGATTCAAATCAAAATTTGTGTTATACTAAATATATATGATGATAATATGGAGCTGTATTGTTTTTTCCAATGCTATAAATATTCAATGGTTAATATCAAAACATTTCAGCAAAGCACTCCATGTTCACATTATAAAGGAAGTTGAAATGGCTCTTAGTGCTGAACTGGTTTGATGTTCAGAGAAACTGGATCAGAATGAACCAATGAAACTTCCTCTGCATGCTGCCAGAGTGAGTGTGTGTGTGTGTGTGTGTTGTACATTCGATTCAGATGAAACGTTACCCCGCAAAACTGCACCCAGATCAATAACGGAAGGTTTCAGTCTCTCAGTATGAAGTCACATACTCCGCTTCTTCTCCACTGACACTTGAACACCTGCACAAAAACTACATGACCATCTCTGGTTCAAGCTTCACCTCAATCTCATCTGATTTCCTTCTGTGAGGGAAATAATGTGAAAGACGGCTGTCACATCAGCAAAAAACAGTGTGCCGAGTGACATAACTAAAATCATTTGAATTCTGTCCAATTAAAATCCCTGAAGTGGTACGAAGGCTCTATTATTAAAAGAGTTTGTTCTTAGAAAAGCGAAGCATCTCTTTCTTCACTCTGATGAATGGGTCGTGCTTGTGAAACTCCTGTGTTTGGGATGGCTGTGTGTCATAGACGTCTCTATCAATCCTTTTTCTGGAACATCTTCTGGCTTATTGAGAGACACACTCCTTCACTCTTCTCTACTTCCATCAAGCACTTCCTGAAGAGGAAGAAAGAAGTAAAGGCTGTCAACACATCAAAATAATCAATCGCGAATGAATTGGTCCAACTAGCATTAGCTGTAGGATTTAAAATGAACAGCTAAAAGTTCAATCTGTAGTCATACGGTCAACTCTAAAGGCACATTTTCGTGTTTTTTGGAGTTTGACAGACATTCAACTGTCATATGGAAAAGGCTGCGTTCCACAGAAATAATAAGAGAATACAAGCATGTATCATAACGTAGTCTTACCGTCGTCTCCATTGGTGAGCACCAGCGCCTGTAAGATATCAGACAGAGACACGATGCCTTTCACAACCTCCTGCTCATCCACGATCACTAACCTGTGAACCTGAAAATCATGTTTACATGATCAGAAATTGAGTTACAGTCTTCATCTGCCCAGCCAAGTATTCATGGCAAAATGCACAGCTGAAGGTTTCATTTATCAAAACAATCGGTAACAATTTAGTATAGGGACCAATTCTCACTATTACCTAGTTGCTTGTTAGCATGCCATTTATTAACATTTTAGCTGTTTATTAGTACTTTTAAAGAACATATTCTGCATGACCATATTCTACATCCTAATCCTACCCAATACCTAAATTTAACAACTACCTTACTAACTATTAATAAGCAGCAAATTAGGAGATTATTGAGGCAAAAGTCGTAGTTAAAGGTTTGTTAACAGCAAGAATTAGATCTTAAAATAAAGTGTGACCAAACAATCTGAAAACATACGTGTATGTATGTATGTATATGTGTATAAATATATATATATATATATATATATACTATAATGTTACAAAAGATAAATGCTGTTCTTTTGAACTCTCTATTCATCAACTTTCGATTCTATTCTGAACAGAATATCTATATATTCAGGTGTGTGTTCCTCACCTCGGCCTCCACTAGTCGGCTGATAATGGCTTCTAGTGTCTCACTGGCTCGGCAGGTGAGCACACCCTCAAAATACTGTGAGCGATGCTGGAGGGCTTTAGTCACAGTGATGTCCAGGTTATTGTATGTCTTCTCAGCTGCCAGATTCTGTGTGATGACATGAAAACCAGATTGAAACACAAACATATGCAGAGAGATCCAACAAAGAGACTTACACACACACGTCATTCAACTAAATTGGTGCCTTATTCATTTTGAAAATATGTTGTTGAATAGTTTACCCAAAAATTTAAATATCTATCCATAATGTTGCTTTCTCTAGTGAGCTGTCTTGTTTGAACCAGGAGAGAAATCTGCACACATCAAGCACAAGCCAAAACAGTCCAAAACAGTTCTAAACTAATATGTGGGTGGATTTTGATGCGAGAGGACAACAAGAGATGGACTTTTTCCACTGGAAACGTTTTTATGAATTATGGACTCGTATTTTGGCAACGGAAGCAACAGTTTGAAGGTAAAAACGTCTTAATGATGGATTTGTTTTTTACAAACACGCAGCTTTTGGCTTCACAAGACGTTAACTGATGGACTGGAGTGGTGTGGATTACTTGTGGATTATTGTGATGTTTTTATCAGCTGTTTGGACTCTTGTGCTGACGGCACCCATTCACTACAGAGCATCCATTGCTGAGCAAGTGATGCAATGCTACATTTCTCTAAATCTGATGAAGAAACAAACTCATCCTAATCTTGGATCAGAATTTTAATTTTTGGGTGAACTATTCCTTTAAGATTTTAAATTAAGTACATAATGTAAAAAAAAAAAAAGATCATGAACTGTAGTGGCTGCATTCACTCAAGCTGATCAATACGACAAACACCAGAGGCTTCAAACACACACCAAGCCCAATCAAAACAGAAACAAGCTCAAGTTAGAAACAACAAACACACAAGACTTACTATAACATCAAACTTGGAGTAGATGTCAACCACATGTCCTGTCAGAATAAACGAGAGGGAGAAACCATGAAAACACATCCAATGAGGAGGGGGGAAAAAATCAAAACCACAGATTTTTAATTTATAATATAATATATAAAAAAAGAACATTAATTTCCACTCACCATTTTCATCAACCACAGGAAGGGCAGAAACTCTCTGATCCACGAAGATGCCGAGCGTGGCGTAGAGCGGCGTATCCGAGTGAACCACTGCGATGCTGTGAAACGTTCCGATGTTCAACTCCTCCAGAGTTTGAGACAGAAACCCAGGCTTGGGCATCTCAGATATCTGGGAGAGGACAATAACTTAAACATGAAGACTGTTTCTAGAAAGAAAACAATATTCCAAGTTGTGCCAATAGAAGAGTAAAGGGGAAATTTTGCAATAGTTGCTTAAAAAGTTGTGACAGAATTACAGTAACCACTATGTGACACACCATTACCAAATAAATGAATGTCTATACTTAATTTAATGAAGCCCAGGAAACATTCAGTGAGTATTTACAGGGCAGGAAACTTACAAAGAGTTTCAGGAATTTGAGGATCCTCTTGTGTGTCAGGATGTAGAGTGTGTTTCCTGTTAGAGGATCAATGACGGGTAATCTGTGGATCTTATGCTTCAGTAGAGATGAAACTGCATCATATAGGCTGAGACAGAGAGAAAAACATCAGACGTCATCGCAACTCTCTAACAAAACCCATTCAATCTGCACTCTTACAAACTCTTACCTGGCATTGGGCGATATGCTGACGAGAGGTTTGAAGGAATCTTGTAAGTAGACCTCTATAAGAAAATGAACAGATCAGTCATAGGCTGACATATCAGAGAGTAAACATCATGAATACACATGAACATCATTCCCACCTCTCCATGTTTCTATTTTGTGCTCCTCTAACTCATATATCTGCACCTAAAACAGACACAAATGCATGAAATCTTTAAACATTCATCAAAAAACCTGATTAAAAACTTCAATGGGAAGAGCAGACTTACCAGAGGAGACTTGTAATAGCGATGAAGTATATTGATGAAATCTGTGATGGTCAGCATACCTAAAATAGAAAATGCAGTAAGAAAGACACACATAAGCTGAATCTGAATTATATATATATATATATATATATATATATATATATAAATAAATTTAGATTAATCGTCAGGGCTACTGAAGTTTTTCAGTCAAGAGCAGTGCGTGATTTTCTGTCTTTCTTTTGTTGTTTGGTGTATGTTAGCTTATGTCCCGCCGGTTCATAGGTACGCATCTAACCTCCGAACCGCGCAGCAGATTCGTTCTGAATGAATCTCTTCCCAAATCGTCCCTCCCTAACATTTTCGTCTCGTTTTTATTCGTTGACGAAAATGTCAATAGATTTACATCATAGTTTTTGTCATTCAAAAAGAGTTTTAGTTCGTTATCGTCTCGTCGTCATCGGCGAAAAAAATGCCGTTGACGAAAATTATGACGAAAATTCTTCGTCAACGAAATTAACACTGATATACACACACATATATATATATATATATATATCGTATAGTTACAAATAATAACAATAAATTAAAATTTACCAAAAGAAAAAAAGTTTGCTTACCAACAAAGCATTGCTTCTTGCTGTCCCAGAGGGGCGCTGCTCTCACCCCATTAGACACTAGAGCAAAGAACGCCTTCTTCACCTGGTAACCATACAATCATAAATTAAGCATGGGTTCTGACGGCACCCATTCACTGCAGAGCATCCATTGCTGAGCAAGTGATGCAATGCTACATTTCTCCAAATCTGTTCCAATGAAGAAACAAACTCATCTACATATTGGATGACCTGAGGGTGAGCACATTTTCATCAAGCTTTCATTTTTGGGTGAACTGTTGCTTTAATAATAAGTAAAATCAAGTTTGCCTTTTTTTACACAGAAATATGAAAATATTATGGAAATGCATGGGTTGTAATCAAGGTTGCACAAGTACCAACATTTGTTTTCTTCCGAGTACCCACCTGTAGAGAAGTGTCGAAAACCACCAACTTTGAGCTGGTGGGCACCAGGTCATAGCAGCGGTGGGACTTCATGAAGCGGGTGTACACATTATACTCAGGATCTGGTTTGAAAGAGAGGGAAAAACCAAACCTGAAAAAAAGTATAGTCTAAAACATTAAATCACGACCAAGCATTAAAAACAACCAATGAAAATATGAGAGAAAACGTGTCAGAGAACAAAGTGTCACAGAATACTTTTGCTGTCACTTTAGTCTCAGATTTCACTCCAAACACTGAAGTCAAAGCCCTGCTCGGCTCTGCTTTCATATCTCGCACATGAGCTGCAGGTGATCGCAGGACTACAGTATCATCTTTATTTATTCACATTCTTACCCTCTATGTGCGCCTCCTTTTTACCATCCAACTCATCTAGAACAGCAGGAACCTGAAAAACAGATGTCAATGTGTGAACAAAGCTCATTTTCGTTTTTTCCCTTAAAAATATGATAATTCCTGATTAACCCTGTAAAGCCTGACAAATGAATTAATAGTTAAAAAAATCAAATTTTTAAAGGGAAGTTTATTGAAGTTTTAGACAACATGTAACAAAATTCCTCAAAAGCCTGATGATCATATTTGATACTCACAGATTTTTCCAAAAAATTATGCATGTATTGTATACTCAAGTAAAGCGAAGTTGCTTCGGTCCAGTAAGTGTTCATTTTGAAATATTACTAGCAGTATCAACGTTATTTTTATGCTTACTATATAAAAATCAGTAAAGATTTCACAGCAAAAAGACACTGAACAACCTGAAGGTGGACTTTGTACAATGATACTAAAAGGCCTTTTCCTTGCTAAAAAATTTTAAACTATCAATCAGACGACAGAAGGCATGTAGTAGATTTAGTTTTTTTTGATCATGTTGATCATTTAGAGGCCTCTGAAAATTGTGTATCAAATATAACACAGTAGAGTTAGGAGAGGGTTAACAATAAGTTAAATGCGAGTTGTTATTCTAAACTGACCAAAGGCTAGAATGTGTCTAGTAAATACATATTAGCCAGAGGAGTTAACAGCAGGACAGTTCTGCTCGCGTTAACCCTCTTGTTATGTGCAAATTTCAACCATGTTTTTAATGTGTGGGGTCAAACTGACCCCAAATACTCAATATGTCAATAAATTATTCAAATTGACAATATAATTTATTTTTATTTACTTACACTTTACCTACCCGATATTTTAAATAAATTTTTAGGACAAAACATAACTTTTTGTTTTTTTATTTATTTATTTAATTGCTTCATTTACAACAACAAAAAAACATTGTTCTCAGTTTCTGAGATTTGCTCCTTTAAATCACTCATTTTTCTTTAGACAGAGAATGACAGTCAATGTCTCTATGAGGAAAACAGCTTGTTTTTTGTTTTTGCAAATGTAAAAAGGCAGAAAGTTTTGTGTGAGGAGTAGGGTTTGGGGAATGAAAACACAGTTAGTACAGTATACAAATTATTATGGAAATATTTAGGAAAGTCTCCATATAACATGGAAACCCAACAACAATATTTTTTGATAGATGCTTGTAAAAATGTGTGTACAGTGTTTGTTGTATGCACATTATTGTATGAAATAGTATAAAGGTATATGAAACTCTGAAAAGGACAAAATTTGGCTTTCATATGCAGTACAATAATAGTAAAATGTAAACTTATGCCAAGGCATAAATGATATTTACTCATTAGATATTTTGTCATGAGAGGCAATAGAGCCTATCATGAGAGAGATAAAACACAACAGATATTTATTCTGCATTTAATGTTTAATCTTTTTTTTTTTTTCACCAAAAACAAAAGTGAAGGGGTCAAAATGACAGCAGACATCACCAAATGGGTCAAAATGTGCACAGCCATTTAAAAAAACTTTGTAACACAAGATTCATGTTTATGAATTTGTCTAATACATTTAGCAAAAGACAGAAAGATTCAAGGTTTAAAAATATAATTATCATATATATATATATATATATATATATATTTTTTTTTAAAGTCAAAGTTGCTCTGGGGTCAATTTGACCCCAGACATCACAGGAGGGTTAAAGTATTCAAGTTCTTATACATTAATACACTTCTTTTTTTTTTTTACTCCATAGCTTCAGACATTTAGAGTCTAACCTCAAAGCTTGAGCTGTATGTTCCTCTAAGACCAATAACTGAGAAAGCTGACAGAAGATCTGAGAAACTTACTAGCTCCAATATTATGTTAAGATAAACACTGATAATAACATAAACACAGCAGAAAATAAAGCACTACTAGTGTCAAAGTAACAGAAAACTGACACCATACTAGAGTAACAAGAGCAACTATTGTTACGGCGGTAAACTAACGAAGTACTAACTTAGAGTAGCAGCAGTAAATCTGAGCGATATTATAGTAACTGCAGTAAACTCAGTACAAGTTTAACTGCCCTAAACTAGCAGCACAGCACTAACGCAAGTATAACTGGCTTCATATGAATGGAAAATACTACACGACACATACAGTCGCCCTACTAATAACACTTAGGCTCTATCTCAACATTTTTACCGATATTAGTTATTTCGCATATTTGAACACAGTGACAAACAAAAAAAAAAACCGCCGTTAGTTTAATTTCTCTCGTCTGTCAGATCAACTCTGTCTCAGTTTAAACTCGCACTACTTACACACTCCATGATCCATTCACGGTCTGAAGACGCCGATGCTGTTTACTTCAAATTCGGAGTGCGCAAATGTAGTTTAATTCGGTCCCCGAGAGCTAAAATGATGTTTAATTCGTTGACGGTCCGGCGACTCGCTGACGGACTCCTTCTAGGATGAGGAAGACCGCTGCGGAGGCCGCAACCGGATGTGACGCCACACACGTCTGCGCGCTTCTCCTTAATAATAATAACAACGGGAACCAAATTTTTTGGTTGATGACAAGTGCATTTATGACCCAAATGAATGTTGTTTATACTTGCAATAAAAAAATAAATAATAATAATAACAACAATAAATAATCATACAAAATAATCAGTCCTGCTAATAAAGTTTTTACATTAAATTAAATAGTAATTATATAACAACACAATTGTGTCATTCTAAAACACATCTCGACCACGGTAGTGAGAGATAAACGTTATGTTTAGATTTTGTATTTATTTAATTTTAAAATAAAACTAAAAGTACAACGATTCTAAGCAGAAGAGGAGTAAATAATAGCGTTGAAAACTATCGCATTTTGAACAGGTTAGAAATGAGAAGCAAAAGCAGAAAACAAGATGATCTGCAGGGTAAGAGCCGTCTATGGTAAGAAATAGTAAACCAAAAAATCAATATATATATATATATATATATATATAGCAAGTTGTCAATTAAAATGGTCTTGAAGTTTATCAACACATATTTGCAGAGAAAAGCATCAACATGGAACTCAAGTTTCTCCTGAAAGATGAAGTTTTTGTGGATTTATTCAATACATTTCTAAATCTTCCAGTAAGATGAAATCTTATATCTGCTCTTGATTTTCAATCTTTAATGAGCTGGTTATCTTGGACTGATCATACATGTTTGTCCTGTTTTAGGTGTTTGGGCAAACGCCTCTCTACATGCTCAAAGAAAACAAGTGGTTAATGTGGCCAAATGTGCCCTTTGCTCAGGTAGAATATTAACCAGACCACAATAGCTGTTGGCCAAAACATTTAATATCTGTAAATATATTTACTGTCAGGTAAACACTGGAGCATTTCTTAAATGGTTAGAGACGCATCAGTTGATTTTCTTCAAACAAACTGAGCTCTATCACAATTTCATTCTCTGCACAGAGATTCTTGACTTTGTATCCTCTAAATCCACAGGTAATGTTATGTTCACATGACAATTTTTTGTGGATACATTATCTCTTCTTTATGTCTGGTGTGTTTCGCATTAAAGGAATAATTCACCTAAAAATGAAAATTTGATGAAAATGTGCTCACCCTCAGGTCATCCAAAATGTAGATGAGTTTGTTTCTTCATCAGATTTGGAGAAATGTAACATTGCATCAGTGTCTCAGCAATGGATGCTCTGCAGTGAATGGGTGCCGTCAGAACAAGAGTCCAAACAGCTGATAAAAACATCACAATAATCCACAAGTAATCCACACCACTCCAGTCCATCAGTTAACATCTTGTGAAGTGAAAATCTGCATGTTTGTAAGAAACAAATCCATCATTAAGATGTTTTTACCTTCAAACCATCGCTTCTGGCCGAAATACGAGTCCATAATTCATAATAATGCTTCCTCCAGTTAAACAGTCCATCCCCTGTCATCCTCTCACATCAAAATCTACACACATATTTCTTTTGAACCGTTTTGTGCAGATTTCTCTCCTGATTCAGTCAAGATGACTTTTGCATAGAGGACTCGTATTTTGTTGTGGTGTGGATTATTGTGATGTTTTTATCAGCTGTTTGGACTCTCATTCTGACGGCACCCATTCACTGCAGAGCATCCATTGCTGAGGAAGTGATGCAATGCTACTTTTCTCCAAATCTGATGAAGAAACGAAGACATCTACATCTTGGATGGACTGAGGGTGAGCACATTTTCATTTTGGGGTGAACTATTCCTTTAAGCCTTAGCAGAGGTTCTGATTTGGAAATATGCGTCTAAGCTAAATTTGAGGGAAGCATATTTCTAAAAGCATACTATTTATCTCAGGGTAAATGATTTCTGAAGCTGAGATTGTCTGTGTTTTCTGCTGAATTCCAGGTCATTTGAAGAGGTCCTCAGAACATCTCAGTACATTGGTCATTTCAGCCAGTTCCTGCGGCAGCACAGTGCGGACGGAGCGCTGCTCTTCATACAAGAAGCAGAAGCTCTGCGCACCATCGAACCCAAACGACAGAAGGCCAAAATCCGTGCCATTGTAGACAAATTCTTTCTGCGACAAGATCCCTCTACTGCTTTCAATAATTGATATTGTGGTGCTATTTCAATTCAATTCAATTCAATGTTAAAGGAACAATTCACCCAAAAAATAAACCACCTGTCATCATTTACTCACCCTCACATCGTCTTACTGGGAAGATGTTTGGCTGAATGTCTGTGCATCCCTACAGTAAGCAGAGATTCAAACTGATAGTAGGCCTACTGACAAAAAAGAAGAATAAAAGTGCATTGCATGGACAAAAGAAAATTAAATAACACAGGCTTGAAATGACATGAGGGTGATTAAATGATTCTGTTCCGTGAACATTAGCAACTGTTTTGCATGCTCCAAAAAACGAAAGAAATAGCATCATGATCCGGTGTCTCGCCCTGCAGTGCAGCGCCAACATCATCAGCAGTGTGCCGCAGATGGACGCGGTTCCTCCAGAGGTCATCTTCACCATTCAGCATCTGGTTTCCAAGTCACTGGAGGCCACGTGGTATTGTGAAAAGCTTCTGGAAAATGTTATTGCTCAGAGGTTGCTATTTCATGCACTCTCAGAAAAAAAGGTACAAAGCTGTCACTGGGTGCGGGTACTCTAAGGTACAAAAGCTGAAAGGTACATCTTTGTACCTTATTTACTCCTAAATGTTACATATTAGTACCTTCAAGGTACATATTACAACTTTAAAGTACATATTCGTACCTGAAGTGTACATATTAATACTTTTTGAAAGGGCACGTCACAGCTTTGTACCTTTTTTTCTGACAGTGTAGAGTTCTCAGTTATGTTTTATTTAACAAACAACTTTTTTTGTCAGATATTTTAACAACAATCCATCAGGGGAAATAAGAGCATGCATTAAATGTGGACAGCAGCTCAAATCATTTGATTGTAATTTGATGAGGAATGTTTGAATCCGTGTTATTGTTAAAGAGATTTCATTTGATTGTTTTCAGTGTTTTACAGTGGTCACATACAGAACAAAAAGTTCCTTTTGATCTCAAACAGGTTCAAACAGTATCAGGAAACATTTAATACTTGTTTCTTCATCAGATTTGGAGAAATGTAGCATTGCATCAGTGTCTCAGCAATGGATGCTCTGCAGTGAATGGGTGCCGTCAGAATGAGAGTCCAAACAGCTGATAAAAACATCACAATAATCCACAAGTAATCCACACCACTCCAGTCCATCAGTTAACATCACATGAAGTGAAAAGCTGCATATTTGTAATAAACAAATCCATAATTTTTAACTTCAAACCGTTGCTTCTGGCCAAAATACGAGTCCTCTATGCACAAAACTGGTTTCTCCAGGGAGAAAGTCATCTAATCTGAATCAGGAAAGAAATCTGCACAGATCAAGAACCGTTTATGAGAGAAAACAGTCCAAAACAGTTCAACAAATATGTGGACTTTAATGTGAGAGACAACAGGGGATGGACTTTTTCACTGGATGAAGCATTATTTTGGATTATGGACTTGTATTTTAGCTGGACAAAAGTCATACAGGATAGGAGTAATTAATGACAGAAGATTCATTTTTGGGTGAACTAACCCTTTAAATCTTTGGTGTTCTCACTGCTGCCTCTAGATGACAGTGTAACATTAGCGGAATCTCCATTAGTTCTGCTGAAGTCCCAATAAAGCCACACATCTGCTCTCAGTGTTTCACATTATTTTCATGTGATTAAACAAGAGCATGTGAATTTAAGATGTGCACATATGTGATTAACATGTGAAATTGAATGTGAGGGATGGAAAAGAGTGAACACATTTCAGAAGTGCAAAATAAAAATAATTTTTTAGATGAATTGGTTCGACATGTTCAGAGGTGTTTGTGTGCATCTCTGCTTCTTTTTATTTCTTCATAAAACTGTTTCCTTGCCCATCACTCAATATATGTTGACACCATCACATAGATATTATGTCATAAAATATTGTCATATATTTATCTAAATATTAACAAATCTGAACATACAGGATGCTTTTAACTGATTTTCACTTCAATCAATAATCTCATGTTGCCAGCTGACAACGTTGAGAAAATATATACCAAAAACATATTTTGCACATTAATGCAGAAACCGTTTTGTTGTTCTGGTGTTAAAACAACCTACTCAAAAAAATCCTAAACAATTTTCTTAAAAGTTTGTGATTAAGAAAATAGCAAATGACAAAAATTCTGAGCACAATTACATTATAAATATCACCAATATCATAAAGAATAAATAAATAAATTACCAGTATACCTGTGTGATCTTGTTGATCTCATAGCTTTTGAAAAATGAAAAAAGGTAACGAAAAGAAGACCATCAGTCAAAAATGACTTTGATGTTATTTTTTCAAATAATGGAGGGTAAAATTTGGCCCATTTGAAAAACAATTAATGCAGTTTAGTACTGATCATTCCCTCTATTGTACAGAAATCATGATTACATCTACAACATGTTCCTTTATATTAAAAATGAGGTAGCCGCCTTTAATTACTTATCATGAACTTTCTTTATTGTATAAAAATATAATATCATATTAGTATGCAGGGCAATGTTTTACATATCAAAAATTAATTTACACTGGTAATTTGAATTCAACTTTCTTTAAGGAGGGATAAGTAGGACAGGTCAGTGGAGGATCGTGTGTGTGTGCGTGTGTGTGTGTGTGTGTGTGTGTGTGGAGATTTATTCTGAAATTACTCTATTGTGAAACACTACAAAAGCAATTATAATGAAGTGAGAGTGTTTTCTGTCCTTCACTGTCAGTGACACTGCGGCTCTGCACGGAGGAGAAAACAATGAAAGAACATATGCAGGCCATATTTCATGCCAAAATCAAAATTACTACATGTATTATTCATATTTTGCTTAAACATAATTTAATGGGTAAATCTCATCATTCGCATTCATGTAACATGAAAAACTTGCAAATTGAACATTATTTAAAAAGTATTTATA